TTTTTTTTTTTTGTTAAACCAAAATGTACATCAGAATAGTTTTTCTCTGCTAGTTTTAAAATGGCCAAGAAAATTAAAAAACGGAAGGAGAAAAGACCAATCTGATTTGTGGCTCGTGTAAAAAAATGTAGCAACTAGAAAAAGAGAACTCTAATTATACATACACTCTTATATTATGCATATACTCGACGCGATGGCTGATTAAAATCTTACAATTGCTCTTCAATAGTCGATGAAAAAGCAGGGGCTCAATTTTTTAAATATAAAAATAGAAAAAGAAATCGTTGTAATTATTAATAAAAACTTACACAATAAAGATTAAACTACAACTTAGGGCACAATGAAGACGCTTATACTTAACATTTATATAAAAATGCTGTACCGTGATTATATGAATATGTATAGAAACAATTTAGACGACGATTCCTCTTGGGGATATTATATACTATTCAACTCATTTTGCGCCGGCCTCCAATAGTTACTTAATTTTTGGACACGAGTAACAGTAATTTAAAGTTTTCTAAGTGCTGTTTAATAATAATAATAATAATAATAAAGTATTTTAAAAAAGCAAAATCCCTTTGATAATCACATGCATATTTATATATACATACGTAAGAGCGAGTATGAATTTAAATTTGCATTGCCCATAAAGTATTACGAGGAACTCGTATGACTCGAAATTTCAGTAACTTTATAATAACCATAAAAATTTAAGCGTTACTTTGATACGATTATCCGCAATTTAATGTTTGGTAACTAATATCATTAACATAATTCATACTTGCATAATTGATACAAAATTTATAAAATGCCCTGGAACATGCACAGTATTTAAATCAGAAAGTAATAACTTTACACTATTACACTTATAATCCATAGATGCATGAATTAAACAAATCATTCCCCAAAAATTTTTATTAGGTACAAAAACGTAATCTTGAAAAAAAAAATTATTAGTCCATATTAGCATGTGCAATTTGTACAAATAATTTGAAATTTTTTTAATCAAAAGAAGTTTTTATTATTAAATATAAAATTATGTACTAAAATTATGCAAGTGATAACTTTACATCGATAGTCAATATTAAAGTATTCCTTAAAATGGTTTTCTATTAATTTTTAGAATAGTTATAAAACATGTGAACCATGCAACTAGTCTTTTCTTGTAAATTTTACTTTTTCTTTGCAAATTCACTTCACTTACTACAACATTCTTAAGCCCCAAAAAATTTTCGTGGAAAATTTTATAAATCCAAGTATGTTTGGACTAAAAAATTAATTTAATAGTATACATAGCGACAAATATTATCATCAGTTTAGATAAAAATATATCATTACAGTAGCATCATAGTATAATTCTAGTTTTATAGACCTATTTTTTCCATCATTGTTTGAAATTTGAAAATGAATTGATTTTTTTCTACAATAGTTATAATAAATCGGTAGCTAACAATCTTAAGGAAAACAGATTTTAGAATCGGTTAACAACGATAAGTGACTTATATAAAGGGACTAAGGTTAATAAAAGTAACGCGAAAATTTTACTAAACCAACAATAGCTTATAAAATAGATAAACTAATAATACTCTCTTAAATTCTTATACGCGCGTCTTCATATGGACAACTTGACAACTTGTATACAAGAGAAAATTAATTTAGATCAACTTTCTACGCACTTCGGACCTATGTAAAAAATGTAAAGTTTGCGAAAAAAAGAAAAAGAAAAAAAATTAAACATAACATTGTATACATAGAAACGATTCATGCTTTGAGTTGATATGTTAACAACTCACAAGAATAATTATAAAAAAGTGAGGTAACATTCCAATGCGGCTAAGTTTATAAATACTCGTCAACTAAAAGAGATTTTTCAATGCATATAAATAACACACTTTTTGTTATTTTAACAAATTTAAGTAGTTATTTATATGAAATAAAAAAAAACTTTTAATTAGACAAATAGATCTAAAAGAATCAAATTTAATAATAATTAACACAGTGTTGAACAGGTTTTAAGTTACAAAAGTACTTTCATAAAACTCGAGCATTGCTTTTTACCACAGGATTTGTTTTTAATTTCATTCATGTTTCCACCTCTCGGAAATATGATATACATGTATGCACAAGATTAATGGTTATACTATTTTTAATTTTACTACAATGCAGACACAACTGTTGCTCCACATTTCTAAAAATGTATTTTGATACGATATTAGACAGGTAAACGTGTACGATCCACACCAATATAAAACCAACCAAAATAACGTAACGAGCAAGTGCAGATTTTCGTACAAAGTACTCATCGAACTATTTGTCCAGCACAGCAAAAGTAGTTTAAAAAAACACAGTATATCAAAATTCGAGAAAATATGTACTTTATATGCATGCGATTTTAGGTCATGAATTAATAGTTTGCACGAAGAAAAAGCAATCAAAATTATGATTTTAGCGATGTATGATTGATCTGGGTAGTGAACTGTGTTCGTGTGGATTAGTTTATATGATTAATGCCATGTTAAAATGCGTTTAAATCACAACATTTTAAACTTCGTGATCGAAGATTAAATTTTCAAGGTATATCACTTTGATTTGTTTTCCTCTATAGTAAAAATTTTCCTAAATTGACGAAATTAGGACAACTAAAAACCATTAAATATAAAATAAATAATTAATATTTAAGCTTTATGGTTATCAGTTCTAAAGGGACCTGAAAAGTTACACGATCTGATAAATTTTAACGATCGTAAGTTGTTATTAACAAGTAGGTACTTTAAATTAAACTTTTTATTTTTAATCAATTAATTATTATAAGCTTAAAAAAATTTATACTCGTTACTAGAAAATTATCTATGAATTTTTTAAATTGGAAGTGCGAAGGGGATAATTAAAAATGTAGATGAAAAGCGTACTGCTGATGTAAATTT